ATTCCGCTGGCGAAATCCCGCTCTCGCCTCTGAACTGCCGACTTTTTAAAATCCCGATACTGTATTACGGCACTTTTAATCCTTACACGAAGTTATCGCACTTTTGCCGCGTTACTGAGGCTGAGAGCTGTAAGTACCTTCACCAGAGCGGCTTTGGAACAAGCCGGGGCACAAACGTGTATCGCACTGCCTAATGCTTGTTAAAGAGCAAACAGAGGGCAGCGACCTGCTGCAATCCTGGTTTATTCTAATGAATTACCCTAGAAATTCAGATCCTAAATCTCTTCGACACTGGTACTTGTGGAAGAAGTAGCCTGCCGCAAACGAAGGAGCACGCATGTGACACCCCGACAGCGCCACGCGCTTCAGCTGAATTTACGGGGCGATGCAAGAAGATCACACGTGCTCCAGGAGCGTTTCAGTGAAGGATAACTCAAAAGAAACGGGACAGTTAGAGCCAACACACGCTACATTCTCCAACTCTCAGCTGATGGTACCATTCCAGCCCGGATACAGACACGTAAAAGGATGTGCGTAACGTTGAATTACAGCCTGACCCTCCCAGGTCTCCAAACACGACAACTGTGTATCACAGAGTCATGGAATGGTTTGGGTGGGAAGGGACCTCAAAGCTGCCCCAGTCCCACCCCCTGCCATGGGCAGGGTCACCTTCCCCTAGACCAGGTCGCTCCACCCCTCATCCTTGGACACTTCCAGGGATGGGGCATCCACAGCTTCTCTGGGCAAGGTATATGCCCTTGATGGACTTTTTTCCCACCCCCTACCTCAAACTCTGCCCTGCTCAACTAGAAAAGGCATGAAATCCTTGGAAGCCTTGGGAGCCCGCTGAAAGCGGAGCCGGGGGAGGCGGACAGCACGAAGGGTTCAACGTGCCGGAAGAACGCACGCGGCACCCGCAGTGGCATTTCCTCCTCCGAAGCGAGAGTGCAATACCCAAATGGGTGAAACCGGGGTGTTTCTACTCCCTGCAGACATCCACCCACTCTGTGTTTGGGAGCAACAGTCCACGTGGATACGATTTTAAATCTCAATCTTCTAATAATTCTACTGCTTTCCATTAGTTTGTTCATTTTCACCCATTTTTCTCCTAGTTATGGTTATTTCTCACCGAAATATATTGTTTACATAGCAAAATAAAGTGCACAAGTTCGGGTTGATCACCTTAAGTACTCTACCATGCGTGGAAAGGGCTCTTGGTAAAATAAAACCGTCTACGTAGGAGAGCGAAGGGAATAAGGGAAATTCCAGCCCTACTCTTCGGCTGCTAGGAGTGAGTAGTTCGCAGTATTTTCAGATGCTCACTAAGATGCTCTCTCCTCCAAACGCCCTCCCAGCTAAACGCAGGCTGCACGCTCTGGGTATGAGGTATGCCGAAAAACAACTACTTAAAAAGGGCCTTTTTGGAGAAAGCCAGCCAGCCCAGGAGCGCGGCGTCGTTCAGTGCCCAAGCTGTGGGCACTTAGTAAATGTCTAGATGGAAACTCAAGTGTCTTGTGTTTGCAACACCGATAAAACGAGGTGAAAAGTAACCACCTTTGCCACCGGCGTGACACCCCGACGCTACCAAGAGACATCTGTAAACCGGTGCCACCACCCTTCGTCGCCGGGACAAACCCCTCAACACCAGCTCATCTTGGAGCACTTGCCTAAGAAGGTTTCTAGGGCTCTCATCAGACTAAACACATGGATCAAGACCTTAAAACTGCTGTGATATGAATTTTGTCCTCCTGTTTCTGTTGCCTATTTGGAATTAAACATATCCTCCACAGAGGTAACCAGGAAAAAACCCTCCCTGGGATTAGCAGTTTGAATTGGATCGAGCAGTCTTACATCCCTTCCTCGTGCACCTACCCCGCGGCGCGTTGGGCTGCTCGGCAGCTGGGGTGGTCCAGCCTGCAGCTGCTTTATTTTTTTGGTGTTCGGTGGGGTTTTCAGCACATTTGTAAAGCTGCCGAGAGAATTTCTAGCCTGAGGGGAAAAAAATAAATCAAAGAGAGTAACTCAGTCACCTGGGCCGTGGCTGCAAAACTGGTGACAGAGTGAAGTGACCACCGGGAATCTTTTATCAGCCGGCAGTAAGGATCACTCGCTGCGATCAGGCAGAATTCTGGGGCTGGTTTCAAGGGATTGTGTTCACTTGTGCTGCTCTGGACACCTCCCTGAGCGGGAACTTTGACGCGGCCCGATGCCCACAGTGAGCTCTCGCTGATAACCTGACCACCCAGCCCCTCTCCTACCCCACGTCCAACTTCTGGTTCACAACAATGGGTTTTAAACAACCAGAATACCACAACTCTCTTTTGCATTACAGGGAAAAGTATTCTTCACCTGCTCCTTTGGATTTGACACCCCCTCACCTATACAGTCAGAGGCAAGGAGCCCACTGTCTTCCAGAGCAAGAGTCAGTTTTCTGACACAAAGCTATTTATGATAAGTATGTCCGGTTTGATCTCGTAACTGCTTGAGCATTAGCGCCAGGCCCCACAAAAACACCCCTAGAATCACTGTAAACCTCTTACGAGGGAGTCTAGACAAGGTAAGCAAGCTCTAAGCTGATCAAGCGAAGTCAAGAGGGGACGTGTAACCCTCCTTCCTCCGGCCCGAGGCCACATCCAGCACAACAAACAGGCTACGTGCGCGGAGCCCAGCTGGCAGGACAAGCTGCTCGGCCAGGTCTGAGCACAGAGACCGACATGGAAATACTCGTGGCAACCAGACCCCAAGATTACGAAGGAAAAGTGCTTTAGAGAAGAGAACGCCACAAAATCCCTAATTTCCTGCATCGCCAGGCTGCGCCCGAGCCCGTCATTTCCTAAGCGACCAGACGCCTCCTTGCACGTACGCTGCGTGCCGGTCCCTTCGCCTTACGGCTCGGCTACCGCAGGAGCTGAGAAGGCAACCCCGAACCGAACGCGCCCCATCGGCACGCTCCTTCGCACACAGCCACGCGCTTCCGCGTTCCCAACGAGGCATTCGCAACGCTTCCGGCTTTCCAGACGCTTCTTTTTGCCCGTATCCAGCTTAAATCGCCCGGGAATGACATTTTTTTCAACTTCTATTTAAAAACAGTCACAAACCACTTTTTGCAGCTCCGGTTTTATTGAAAATGACTTTTTTTTTTTTTTTTCCAAACCGCCACATACTTCAGTTCTCGCATCCGCGAAAGCGACCAGCGGAAAAACGACGACGCTGCTGGGAAAACAGCCGTTGCGGAGTTGACATTTTCCCAGGAGTGTTAAGCATACGCACCCAGAGGCCGGGGGGTACGTAGTGAATAGCACACCAACGGCGGCACAGCCGTAAACTCCTGCCTAGGTGACAGTATTTCGCAGAGCTTACGTACGGCGGCGTTCGTGGTCCTATGAAATAACCTTGAAGAAGATCATCAAGGCCGTTAGCGCAGCGCCACAGGACACAACTAGAGGAAGAACAGCCCCAAAAAATGGATCAGGTAACACAAACAGTGCCAGAGTAAAAATCTGTGCACGTAATTTCCCTGAAATACTTACAGAAGATGGGAGTTTTTAAAACGGACACAGTAACGGTTGGACAAAAAGCCTTTGGTACTGCCACCTCAAGTAAATTCACTTATTTCGCTGAGATTCTTCAATGAAATAGGCTCCTACGCCCCTGACCTGAGAGAAGGGAAACCACCAGCGATTCACTGCCCGACAGAGCTGTTTCCTACTGGCTGTAAGTCAGCACGTAGCTGTTAATCCCTGCAACACCACCCTCATTTGGCTGCGACAAAAATTCACAGACTTGAGGAGAACTCTTGTCCGTTTAATCCTCATTATACTACGGGTGAGAAACAGCAAGGTGCAATCTACCCATCAAACTTCCACCTCCCATCATCCCGTGCCGTTTGCGAACACAAAAATCCTGCTTTTAGGTTTTCTACCCAAACTCTAAGCCTCTGCTGTGTTACACCCCACGGCTCTAACATTTTTAAGAACCTCCTCCTGATCCTGAATGGCAACACTGGGGATTCTCCGTGCTGAAGTCAGGCAGCACCCTGAGGTACAGCCCAAGTAAAACACTACTTCCACCTCTGCAGGAGAGAACGAGCTGACCCGACTCTAGAAAAGTAGCACCGGGCAGAATTAAACTCTCAAATATGAGAAAACCGCACCAACACGAAATGTCATTAAAGTTAACGAGTGAACAAAGCCTCTTCACATTTGCCAAAATGACTTTTGCTGGCATCTTACTTTTCAGATTCAGACAAATCCAACCCCGCTGCTCCCAAATTTCCAGGTAAGACTCCTTTTGCTCACAACTTGCCCTTCTGGCTCAGCTTTCTCCTTCCTCACTTGCTGGTTACTTAAGAGCAAAATAAATTACGAGGCCATTGAAGTGACATCTGTCACAAGGGAAGCTGACAGACTCAACTACACGCGTTCACCGACAGCCGTGCGCCGCAACGCTGGAGAAGTCGATGGGAACAACACAAAATGAACACGACTGGGGAGTGGCGGAAAAAACAAAGAAAAATGAGCGAAGTAGAGCATCCTGCAGTCATTACACAGGAACACATCCTCAACTCTGGCTGCAGAAGGCCCAAACGAAGAGTTCGAGTGAAGCCAAGCAGGAAAACTCTGGTTTGCCGACCCTGACGCAGCACGGAGCCGTCTCCCCGAAGCGCCGACTCACGGCAGCAATGGGCAGAGCAGCGCTGCCCCTCTCTAGGAGGGCAAGGGCAGCAGGAACCGCACCATCTCCCTCACCAAAGCTTTCCACAGGAAACACCCTTGCAAGAAACTCCCCACTGGAGACCTCCAGCTGCTCAAGTCCCCTTTGTGCACCACCAACTATTTCTCATTTTTGTCTCCCTGAGATGCAACAACATTGGAAGAAAGAACCTTCCCGAAGGACTGGTACAGACTGTTCGTAGAGGTGGCCCTCCTCCCCGCAGCCGTCTCTCTCGCACACCAAGGACCCCAGAGAGACGTGAGGCTAAAGCTCAAGCTGCTGACATGCCGTGCCGCACGCAGCGCGGCTGGGAAGCACTACGCTTAACTTAGATTTTGGTTAACAGCTACTATAACCTGGTTCTGAATGTAAATCCACAGTAAGAAAGACAAATATTTAGTATCTTTAGGAAAATAAATGAATTTCATATAATAAAAAGAGGAATTACGGTAAGACTTCTACCCTCCAGTAACAACCATTACGGATGTTTTATGTGCACCCCATGTCGTATCTACGTAAAGCCCCCGCTCCTCGGCGTCAAAGACTTGCCCTCAGTTTGGCTAACCTAATTACATTACACAAAACAAATGAGCCAGGGTATTTACAGAATTCCTGCCGCACTCCAGAGTATTTTTCCAGAAGACTGAGAAGCACTCAAACGCAGCATCAGCAGAGCACACGCGCCTTGCGACAGTGTTCAAGCCCGCAGAACACAGCCTGTTGGACGTGCGAAGCAGCAGCATCTTTCTCTCCTTTAAAGGACACGGAAAACCAGCCTTTGTCAAGAGCTTTCAGGGATGAGCAACCCAGGGCTTTCACTGCTCCTCACCTCAAGCTGAAAACCCCCGAAATGCCCAAACTGTCTAATGGACAAAGCACTAGACCAGAACGCAGAAGACTGAATTCTATTATTAATTCTGTTGCTAGGATGAGGTATGTTATTTTTCCCAGGGAATACGTGGAAAACGTCACCGTTCCTTTTATAAAGCACTTGGAGATCTCCTGATAAAAAAGCTGAAGGTAGCGTAAGCGCGATCACACCAAGGAGACGGCCAAAGTGCCTGTTAGATGGGCTGAGAAAAGCGAGGTTTGCACAAAAACTGCACCGTGGCTGCAGCCAGAACCGGCACGCACCAACGCCATCGGCTCGGGGGAGTTAACGTTTATTTGCAGCACGGGAACGGTGGAATTGGCTCTTTTCCTAGTTTAAAAGCAGCGTCTCAAATACACGAGGGCAGCAGCTACGCGTCCTCGGGATCCTTGTTTTGTCCTACACTGTCCAAAAGCTCAAACCCGCCCAGGTCACACGCTTTCTCGTGGTTAGTGAGCTTCTTCTGGGTACCGAAGCCCTTGCCACAGAACAGACAGACAAAAGTACGCTCGTTTGAGTGCACAGACACAAGATGCCGGTTTAAGTCTGTCTTGTCCCGAAATAGCTTGGCACAGTTAGGACACTGCATCTTCTTACAGTTGAAGTGGATGGTCTTTTCATGCCGATCCATGTTTGATTTCAGGGTGAAGCTCGCGGGGCATTTGGAGCACTGGAAGCGGGCGAGCTGGCCGGGAGGCACGCTGTCAGCAGGCCGGGAGCAGTCGAGCAAGTCGAACGGGAGAAGCATGGAGAAGGCATGCTGGTGGATGTGCTCCTTCAGCTCTTCGGCACAGCGGAAAACCCTCTGGCAGAACGCGCAGGTCAGCCTCTTGGCCAGGGCTGAATCCAGGAACAGGCCATCCGTGGTTACGTCCATGTCTTCAGACCTCGAGAAGCTGGTATCTGAAACAGAAACGCACACACACGCGCAAATCAGCATCTTCTAGTACAAAATTATGGTACTCTCAAAAAATATTTCTCCCTCTACTTACCCGAATCAGAGTTATCCAACTGCCAAAGTGCTAAAATTCCATCGTAAGCAGCCTGCAAACGAAAAGCACACGCGTTACGGCGAGCGCCAACAACACCCCGTCGCTGCAGTCTGTGCTCAGACTCATTGCTGCCTTCACCCCTTCCTTCTTCAAGGACGCTCTTTGCTTGACCTGGCAGCCCTGTTTGCCTTTCCAAAGCTTCCCCTGTCAAAGCAGTGGAGTTAACTGGGTGGGATTTTGCAAGACTTGGTGTTTAAGCACAGTAATCGACATGCCTGTTTAGCTGCTGGGTACCGCTCTGCTTTCAGGCCCGCTAAGCATCCGTAGATCCCGCTGAGGCCGAGGGGAAAGAAGCGCCGGATGGGAAATGCCTATCAGACACGACAGACCTGGGACAGTTTCCCTCAGCCCTACGTCGCTACTTTTGCTTCCCACACAGAAAACCCCCGTGAAGACACACACCTCCCACGCAGTTCCCTTCACGCAACGCGCTCTGGCACCGCTGATCCAAATTATAAAGAAAGGCTGATTTTTTGGAACCCGTTCCTCGTTTGCGAGG